ATGCTGACCACGTGTGGCCCTCTTCCCAGAACCTCTTGAGTGTATAATGACAATATTTTATAGAAGTAGAACATTGGTTGCTGTGGTTCCCCTGCTTTACTTGTGGCAGGTTAGGGTGTTCGGTTTATGTTATATCAAGGTTTGAGGGTGGTCTTATGCAGTTTAGATTATGGTTTTGTATGGGATGGTTTGGATAGTGATGATCCTGCCTCAGGCTGGACTAGACCTCTGGAGGTCCCTTCTAGCCCAGCTTCTCTATGGTTCTATGACTATGACCCTGTGTGCCCAGATCCAGCCCCAACAGGGCCCTGCAACTGAAGCAGGGGCAGGGGGCAGGAGCAAGTTCAGGGGTGGGGCATAGACAAGGAGCTGCCAGGCAGCTGTGGGGCCTGGTCAGGGCTGGATCTAGGTGTGCACAGGGGCAGCATAGGCTGCAAGGAGCCTAAGAGAAGGCAGGGAGGGGGGAACACTCCCCCCGCCACCCACCACCATCTCTCTCTCAGGCAGATTGGGGTGGCAGAACAGTGATCCATGCTTGGAGGGGCTGACCAGGGGATGAAGGAATAAGAAGAGAGTGTATCTAGGTGAATATAGTAAGGATGAGGGTGCATACAAGTGAGGCATGTCTTACTTCTGCTTCTTTTCTTGTAGTTTGTACTCTTCAGTTGTACACAATCCTTCATCAAAGGTAAACAGACTAGGAGTCAATGGTATTGGTATGTATTTTTCATCAACATCCAAGCTGGCGATACAGGTAGTCCTGAGAGCATAGGAGTCATCACAACAACGGCAGACATTCTGGTTTATAGGATCAGTCCCTTGTCTTCTACATATTTCCCCAACCACAAGATCCAACTTTAGACAGATGAGAGGAAGAGAGAAATGTTTACATTAAAAACCACATTTCTTTGGACACATCATGCTTTTAATAACATCAAGGTGATTGAGAACTTACAAATACATTTATTTAATGTTTAAAGAACTTTAAAAACAAAATAGCCCTGCAGCTTGCTGTGCCAGACAGAATCCAAAATGGGGTCTCATTTTTAAATAGGGGCATTGTTATATATGTAGCTTTATACACTTGCACTCTAATGACAAAGTTTACACCTAAAATCCTATTAGTATGTGCTTTGCTTGCACTAAGCAGGATTTGTGGGGTATTGTCCTACTGTGTGTGTGAACGAGGAGGCCAGCAGGAGGTCCTTTTAAATCTTGCTTCATAAGTAAACTTGGAATTAATCGTTCCAATGAAGCCACATGGGTGCTATCCCATATCTACCCAGAGCCTGATTCAGCTCATAGACATCAAGGAGAGTCATGCTATGAACCAGTTTATGTATCTAAGGCCCCAATTCAGCAAAGCCGTAAAGGCCTTGCTTAACCTTAGCCTGACAGTTCCCTTTGCAAAAATATAGACAAGATCCTCAGCTGATGTGAATCAGCATAAATCCATTAGCTCAAATCATGTTACACCAGTTTACTCCACCTGAGAATCTGCCTCATGCCTCCTAACCCAGTCACTCCCAAACAGTTCACTGAAGGTTCTGGGTCTTGACCCCTGGGCACCTGGAAACTTGGAGCAATGTCATAGCAATAGGAAGAGGATGGGTCCAAGACTAGGAAAACATATACTCACATATCCATCCGAACACAGCATTTGTTTGTCATCGCTGAGCTGACAGCACCTGGAAGCAACTGCCACCATTTGTTCTGTGTATTGGATCAGCTCTTTGGAGGGCAGCTGAGGCATTCTCTTGGTATAGCGCAGAAGAAGCCTGAAACAACCATTTCACAGTTACTGGTGCTCTTCTTGAGTCATTAATGGGCCAAACCCTGGGCCAGTGTAAACCTGCATAGCTCCAACTGAATGGAAGGCTACCTGTTTCATTAGGGAAGTGGCACAGTGTTTGTAAACCCACTTTACACTCTACACTCCACTTCACACTCACTTTGCACTGAAAGGAGAACCAGGTGCTCTGAGTCTGAGAGAGCACTCTGTCACATGTATTTAGCATCCTTGCACTTCAAAGGGGCAGTGGGAACACTTGAACCAATGCTCAAGTGTCCCCACCACTATTTTGAAGCACAGGAAACTGAATACATGTGATGCTGTGGGTGTTTTAATTAGCGTGGCTCTCAGAGCCTCTCTAATTAAAGTGACCCCCCATGTGTATAGAGCATGTGTATAGATGCCAAGAAAGACCAAATCCCAGGAAACAGAGCTACATTTTTATCCTTTGTACTGGTCCCTCCTTATCAGGCCTTAAGGTTGTTGGTTAAGAGGAAAAGACCCCAGTACAGCTCCACTTAAACAGGAACTTTAGGCATGCCACCATCAGCCCTGATTTCACTAGGAGTACTCACATGCTTTAAGTCAGCCATATTGCTGAACCAACAACCTTAAGTCCTGATAAGGAGGGACCAGTACAAAGGATAAAAATGTAGCTCTGTTTCCTGGGCTTTGGTCTTTCTGGGCATCTATACACATGCTCCAGAGTGGTGGGGAGGTCACTTTAATTACAGAGGCTCTGAGAGCCACTCTAATTAAAACACCCACAGCATCACATGTATTCAGTGTCCTGTGCTTCAAAATAGTTGTAGGGACACTTGAGCATTAGTTCAAGTGTTCCCACTGCCCCTTATAAGTGCAAGGATGCTAAATACATATGACAGGGAGGTTGCTAGAGAGCATTAATTAGCATGCCCCATCAGACTTAATTAATCTAATTAGCATATGTCAGAGCAGATGTCAAGCACGTGTATGGGTGCCCTCTGTTCCACAGTCAGATCTTTGTTATCTTTGCCTTGCTAGAGGGCATGTTAAATGCATAGAGAAAAAAAAAAGAGGAGTCTACCACAAAGGGCAAAGCGGTATACTTTGTGCCATACTGTGACTTTTAAGTTGGAGCTTACAGCCTAGAATGCACTCAGAATGCAAGTTAAACATTTCCTCTATCAGAGAACATAATGTGTACTGTGAACAGGAGATGGGGCAGTTTTCCACTATGTTTATTACTCCCATGCTTCCTGAGTTAGAAATAGGGTACAACTCATGAAAGAGAGCAGAAAAACCCAAACAAACACTGAATTTATTCAGCCAAATCTTTAATTGTATAAGTGAGTCTCTCTCTCAAAGTCAGTGAAATGATACTGATTTACACTACCTTGGGTCTGGCCACTGGTACTAAAATCTGGTAAAGAAATGTTTTTGAAAAGCATACTCATTTTGGAAAGCATAATCTCCCAGTTCCTTGTATTGTTCACAGTTGGTCTTTAACACTGCTATGGACTCCTGGATGTGTTTTCTCAGCTCTTCTTCCTGAAAGAAAGGGAGAATATTCAGGGGGTTATTATGTGAGGAGGTAATGCTGTTACATCACAATGTGGCCTTTGGCTATCCATAACTGGCATATTACTCACATCTCTACTGCCTACACTGAAAATTCCTTCAGCTTTCTGAAACCTCAATCCTTTCAGTACAACCAGGGCCCATCCTCTACACCTCTAATATAATTAATTTTGCAAAACTGCTGCACATGGGAGCTCCAAGCTAAATTGCCCACAGGAAAAGACCAATAATGGGGCACTTACAGCCATGAACATCTAGCAGCTGTTCACTCACTCCTTGGTTAGAACTTACAGAGGCCCAGAAGGAAGGCTGGGATACCGCAGAAATCACCCTCTTCCCTGGCACATCTCTCTGCCCATGCAGAGCTCACAATTATAGCAGTACAGCAGCAGTGCAGGCACAGTCACTGATAGGAATCATCTTCATGTAGGAGACAATAAGGAGTTTAGGAATTTGTGTAATTAGTGCAAGCCACCTAACCTAAGTTCTTATCTCAGGGGAGGGCTCTACTATGGTCCCTTTCTTCTTCCTGTTTCCCAGGAGAGTATCTGCTTTGTCCCCAGTGCGCAGGAGTCCCTTGCAGCCGGATAACTCCCTTCTGAACTGTTAGCCAGCTCTGAAGTTAAAATACACTCTCTTCCAGTCTTTCCAAATGCTAGTTGCATCCTCTGCACCACTGCCCCCTCTCCCGTTCCCCATATAAGATGTTAATTTCCCCAGTAACCCCACATTGGTAAATGCAACAAAAGAATGAAGACATACAAAAAACTAGAACTCTTGGTTCCAAAATGATACCTTTTATTAGACCAACTGGGAAATTACAAGAAAAGGACAATTTTCTTGCAATTCCCCAGTTGGTCTAATAAAAGGTATCATTTTGGAACCAAGAGTTCTAGTTTTTTGTATGCCTTCTTGTCTCAAACCGACACAGCTACCAAGTACACAAAAGAATGAAACCCCATTCATTAGCATACTGGAGGCCATCAAGTCAGATTTCAACTGATATCCTCTCTCTAAAAAGTAATGGCATCTAATCCCAGATTGGAGGGTAGCACTACTCCCAACTCACACCTCAAACAGAATCACACTGCATTAGCTGGTGATCATCTTCATCACCCATGCCTTTGACTGACCACACGGGCACATACCCCTGTGCCATAGCACTCTTGAGGAGAGCTGGTTTTGCAGCACTTTTCCAGTAAACCGTGGTATCCTCTACCAATTCTTGAAAGCATTAGAACAGAGAACTCGGGGTGTCTTCTGGAATATTCATAGAGAAATCTGTAATATATGAAATATGTCAGCATTAGAGATGCAGGAAGTAAAATAAAATGACAACATTCAAAGATTCACAGGTGATTACGCCTGCAGGGACTTCAAGATATGCTATTTTGACTACCTGGGGAACACTGAGAATTCACCAAAATTTCACCCTGGGGCTGACCATCTCAGAAAGACTAATTGAAGGGTGCAGACAACCATGTGATATTTTTCATAGTTTCATAGTTTCTAGGGTCGGAAGGGACCTGAGCAGATCATCTAGTCCGACCCCCTGCCATGGCAGGAAGAGCACTGGGGTCAAATGACCCCAGTAAGGTGGTGA